TTTGATTTATCCAAATATAGGCCTACGCACAAAACAACTAACAAGTTATATTAATACCATAATAATGCAAATATATTTAGAATACAAATATTTTAAAAGTATTCAACAAACGTTTTGAGAGTAAAACAATCATTTTCTTTGGAAGATTTAAATGAATAAAATTAAAAGTTATGAGCATAGTCTAAATACGGAAACAAATATTTATTTTATAATACTTTTAAAAGAAATAAGTATGTAATATAAAAACGGCTAATTCCTCTGTTCAGAGTCCTCTGTCCAAATGCCCCGATGCCCAGAAGACATAACAACGTTGAAATATAGTAGATAGGAATTATTCATTTTGAGACCGCATATTTCCCTTTCCATATTGGCTTAAGTTAAAGTGAATTCAACGCTTTCGGTATACTACAGTGTTATTTGAATATGTGAACTACAATGTATTTTAAAGGGTCGGTGAATTGTTTTTAATAAATGAGACGAAAAGGTGTGACTGGAGATGGTAGGGCGTAAGGGTGAGACAGGAGATGGTGGGACGTAAAGGCGTGACATAAGATGGTAGGGCGTAAAGGGGTGACATGAGATGGTAGGGCGTAAAGGTGTAACAGGAGATGGTAGGACGTAAAGGTGTGACATGAGATGGTAGGGCGTAAAGGGGTGACATGAGATGGTAGGGCGTAAAGGTGTAACAGGAGATGGTAGGACGTAAAGGTGTGACATGATATGGTAGGGAATAAAGGTGTGACATGAGATGGTAGGGCGTAAAGGTGTGACATGAGATGGTAGGGGGTAAAGGTGTGACAGGAGATGGTAGGACGTAAAGGTGTGACATGATATGGTAGGACGTAAAGGTGTGACATGAGATGGTAGGGCGTAAAGGTGTGACATGAGATGGTAGGGGGTAAAGGTGTGACAGGAGATGGTAGGACGTAAAGGTGTGACATGAGATGGTAGGACGTAAAGGTGTGACATGAGATGGTAGGACGTAAAGGTGTGACATGAGATGGTAGGGCGTAAAGGTGTGACATGAGATGGTAGGGCGTAAAGGTGTGACTGAAGATGGTAGGGCGTAAAGGTGTGACTGAAGATGGTAGGACGTAAATACGTTTTGGTAAGTGGGTCGAAGGGGTTAGCAGACGAAAATATGGTGGACTTATGGGAGGAGGAAATCTGTGGGGAGAATGTGAGGGAGGAAATCTGTGGGGAGAGTGTGAGGGAGGAAATCTGTGGGGAGAGTGAGAGGAAGGAAATCTGTGGGGAGATTGTGAGGGATGAAATCTGTGGGGAGAGTGTGAGGGAGGAAATCTGTGGGGAGAGTGTAAGAGAGGAAATCTGTGGGGAGAGTGTAAGAGAGGAAATCTGTGGGGAGAGTGTAAAGAAAGGAAATGTGTGGGGATGCCAACCAAGTGGTCTGGGAGCGGGATATAGGACGATGGGAGGAAAGACTTTCAAGTATCCATCCATACATTAACAGATTCAAAGGAGCATAGTCCTAAATTGTTCATAACTGATTATTTTAAGATTTTATTACCAGCAGGCATAAAATACATCTGTAAGCAGATTTGCTTTAAAAAAATATCTCAGCAAACATAAAAGGTGTGCATATTATGACAGTAAGAGTAAGAGTTTATGAATAATATAACTGGAAAAATCGTTGCAAACAAAAAAAAGACATTAGTTTAATTCAGAATCTGACGCGTGGTTATCTAACTTATCTGTCACAGCTGTACAAGTGATCAATGTGCACAGGATGTATGGTCATCAAAATTAGCACAGTCGCAGCTGTACAAGTGATCAATGTGCACCGGATGTATGGTCATCAAAAGTAGCACAGTCGCAGCTGTACAAGTGATCAATGTTCACCGGATGTATGGTCATCAAAAGTAGCACAGTCGCAGCTGTACAAGTGATCAATGTTCACCTGATGTATGGTCATCAAAAGTAGCACAGTCGCAGCTGTACAAGTGATCAATGTTCACCTGATGTATGGTCATCAAAAGTAGCACAGTCGCAGCTGTACAAGTGAGCAATGTGTACCTGAATAATATCCTTCATTAAATTCTTGAGGCGATGACTCCATCCCACGTCAATTCTTTCTTTAATGGTTACAATACTTTAAGAGAATCTAGAAGAAGAAAAAAAAAGTATGTTATTATTGTACAGCTATCACTTCCCAGTTTTTGAATAAATGGCAACAGCTTAAATAAGTGATAACGGCTGCTATAAATGGCGACAGCTGATGTAAATGGTGACAGCTGATGTAAATGGTGACAGTTGAGGTAAATGGTGACAGTTGAGGTAAATGGTGACAGTTGTTGTAAAAGGTGACAGTTGTTGTAAAAGGTGACAGTTGTTGTAAATGGTGACAGTTGGTGTATATTGTGACAGTTGGTGTCATTCGCATGATTACATTTTTAAGAAAAATTTAATTTCAGTTTTAAAAAAATAATAATTCAGCATCCTGTGATAAAGTGGTTACAATCATTCAGCATCCTGTGATAAAGTGGTTACAATCATTCAGCATCCTGTGATAAAGTGGTTACAATCATTCCGCATCCTGTGATAAAGTGGTTACAATCATTCAGCATCCTGTGATAAAGTGGTTACAATCATTCAGCATCCTGTGATAAAGTGGTTACAATCATTCAGCATCCTGTGATAAAGTGGTTACAATCATTCAGCATCTGTGATAAAGTGGTTACAATCATTCAGCATCCTGTGATAAAGTGGTTACAATCATTCAGCATCCTGTGATAAAGTGGTTACAATCATTCAGCATCCTGTGATAAAGTGGTTACAATCATTCAGCATCCTGTGATAAAGTGTTTGTTTTAAAACAATGCGTTTGGTTTTGTTGAACAAATTTATAGAACAATCAATCATTGGACAAGTCAACTGAAATACCTAAAACTTAATTCAATCATTAACGCTATGCTGACAATTTATTTGTACAACACTATTCCGACAATTTATATGTTCAATATTATTCTGACAATTTATATGTTCAATATTATTCTGACAATTTATATGTACAACACTATACTGACAATTTATATGTGCAATATCATCAAAAGACATGTGCTTATATTTTGACAAATAAACGAATCTTTTGTTTTTTAAATTAATTTTTTCAACATCAATTTTTAGTTATAAATTAATTTTTTCAACATCAATTTTTAGTTATAATTTAATTTTTTCAACATCAATTTTTAGTTATAAATTAATTTTTTCACGTTTTTATTTATAAGATTGTTGACATTGCTCCAGTGTACCTCGACTAAATGCCACCCGGAGGTAAATGTAAAAAAAAAATAAAATTGCGCCCCACGCCCATATATTAAATAATATTGACGGTAATAAAACCCAAAAGGCCCACCACCCACAGCCCCCCCCCCGGGCGTCGCGTTCTTCGTCCCTTCTCGCGTCACTGATTATTTAATTAAGCTCATTTATTTACGACACAAATGATTAAATCCGTTAATCTGAGAAGGTTTTTGTTTTTCTTGCCTTATTCTTTCCAGGTATGACATCCTGTCTGTTCTTTGAGAAGTCAAGTCTGTTCTTGGAGAACTCAAGTCTGTTCTTAGAGAAGTCAAGCCTGTTCGTGGAGACGTCAAGTCTGTTCTTTGAGAACCCGTGAATGAAGCAGATCCTGGCGAAACATGAAGAGACAAGTGCCCTTCCGTCGTGATCAAGTCACAGAGCATCTGAACAGGTTAATTTTAAAATGTGTATGATGAAATGGAGATTTTACACACACAAACAAAAATTTAAAATTTTAACTGTTTATAATTTTTTTTTAAATGGCATTAGAGCCAAAAGATATTTGGAAACTTGAAAAATAATGTATCCAACATTTGATTCTTAAGTTTCATAAATAACTTTTTAAAAACAAATCGTAGTATGCCACATTTTGGAGAATGGGAAAACCCCATTGTCATCTATCCATATTTAGTTTGTCTCCAAATTAAATTAAATGCAACGATCAAAGGCTATTTTTTTTTAAATGAAAAATTATCCCCCCCCCCCGGAAAAAAAATACCATCTAAAATTTTTAAAGTTACCATTTCATCTTTGGACCTCAAAATCATTTTTGATCGCTCATAGACTTCCCCCATCTGCTTGATCTTAGTTTTTACACTGTAAGGAACATTAAGATCTCTTGCTAGCTGCCTCAGGCACTTGAATGTTTCACGCATTATCTGCCGGTCTTCTGCTAAATTAAGCTTGAAGTCACGTAGAACAGACGAACATTTTGTCACTAACGTTGTCACGTGACTATGAATGCTGACATGCGTGGTGACCAGAGTGTTGAGCTGTGTCAGGTACGATAACTCTAAACACCGGAGCAGCTCTGTGGTGAACTCACGCTTCTGTTGATGTGTAACTCGTTTTGAGATCTTCAGAACAGCATTTTTTCTGACGTTCAACATTTTTAATGACTCCGCGTCCTTTTCAAGTGAAAATATCTCAGCCAAGACAAAAGCGCATTTCAGTTGAAAAGATATGGCTTCTTTTTCTGCTTCGTTCTTAACCTTATCCACCTCCAAATATTTGAAACCTGTTAACTGAGGATCTTCAATTTTCCTCTGTGACATTAATAATTTACTGGAATCTAGTTTTGTTATTTCATTCTGTTTTCTTAATTTTTCTTTAAGATATTCTCTTCTTTGACTTCTTGCCTTATTCAAGTTGTCATATCTCTTACACTTCATGATAGGTTTAGAGCAGGCAGGACAGGGGAGAAAACTTGAGCCCTTGGCATCATAGTTTTTTAGGTACTCATCCAACTCATCGACATAAAAAATATGGGAACATGAGGGAATTTTTACAAGTACTCCATGTAAATTAGTTTTTGGCCTAGCGTTTGGATCGCTGCTTGATACAGTGCTATCTTTAAACGTGTAGACCTGTTCACAGACTGCACACACGCACAACTCACCACAAAGCCCAGCACAGACGTGGTTGCAGTTTTTTAATTTTAATGTACAGTTTTTTTTACCACCACACAAATCTGAGCAGACGTGAGCTCTTCGTGTACATTTCACTGAACATGGTTCAGAATCACACATTTCCGAGCATCGTTTTGGGCAGTTGAGATGGGGACATTTATGTGTGCACGGCTCAAAGCACGGAGGACAGGAATGGCTACAGAGTTTAACAGAGTTGTGTGTGCTACAAGTTCCGTGTTCACACCGAACTGGGCAAGTTTGTGAGCAAGGTAAACAAGGAGCTCCACAGAACCCTTTGCACTTGTGTCCACAGGGTAGAACCTTGCCGCAGGGCTCTTCACAGGCAACGTGAACTGCTCCTCCCAGGCAGTTGGAACATTGACCTTTACAGGTGTGTCCGCAGCCTAAGACGGAGCCACACACCATCTGACACTCCACATTTGAAGATTTCAAAAAGCACTGTGTAATGTTATCGTGACCACAGGGCGTACTAATTTTAACGTCGACGTGGCAATCACTGTGCCTTCCATCTCTTCTGCACTGGTTGCATTTGCCGGAACACGGATGCTTACACTCAAGAACAACGCGGCATGGTTGTGAGCACACAGCTTTGCCTGACGGAATATGGCAGGGAACATTATCCACGTGACCACATTTGTTAAATTTTCTAGGTACTAAAACTGCACACACTTCACAGTCCTGAAAGCACATTTTTTTACACGAATGTTTTCTTTCACATGTTTTAAGACATGGCTTTCTGCATTGAACATTTCTGTGTTCCAGATCATTCGCATGGCACGGTCTGGCGCACACGTGTCCACAGTCAAGCCTGTAACCGCAAGGTTGACCACAGCCTCCGTTTGGGTATTTATCAAAATCCGTGTCAGAACTGACCGTTCGTTTGTTGTCGTGGCTCTGGCAGGCGAGCTCCAGTTCATGGCCAATTATGTCATCGGCCAACGCTGTTAGAATTATTTTTTCCCATAGCTTGCTTTGAGTGCGCAGTACATTAAAGTTGCCTATGACAAAAAGCCCTTTCTTTGCTCTGGACAGCGCCACACAAACTCTGTTGTCCACTTTCAAAAAGCCCACATTATTCTGTTCATTACTTCTGACAAGGGAGAGAAGAATTATGTCGTTCTCTTCTCCTTGGAAATTGTCCACTGCTGTTACACGTACCTGTTGAAAGTCTTTACCAATATCTTCTCCTCTTTGCTCTCTGAGGATTTTCTTAATGGCATACACTTGACCGGTGTAAGTTGCTAAGATCGTTATCTGGCTGGCTTCGTATCCTTGACACAGAAGATATTTATAGAGTGCAATCAAAAACTTGGCTTCATGTATGTTGGCTTTGCTCCTTGTATCATCAACTTTTTCTTCTTTCTCTGTATGGTTGATGAAAAAAACATCTTTGCTGACTCCACGAATATGATCATATTTCAACACAGAAGAATGATCCTCAAGTTTTTTATAGATGTGCCTCATAATCTTTGAAATCTCTGGTCGCATTCGGTGCTGCTCTTGAAGCAGCACATGTGGCACACCATTTTTAATCAATCTCTCGAACAGAGATATCTCCAGGCCATATTTTGTAGCTAATTCATACACAGCTGGGTTGGGGCGCAACTGTTGGTGGTCGCCAATCAATATCAGGTGGTTACATTTCTTGTTGAGGGCCGTCACGATGTGAGACTCCAGAACTTCTGCAGCTTCCTCCACCACAATGATCCTACAGCCCAGAGCCTGTAGTACAGCCCTGTGTTTGGCTGCCCCAGTGGTTGTCATGCCGATGACTTTGGCTGACTTCAGCAATGCCAGTGTTTCTTCTCTATTTGCTTCTATTTTGCGATTATGAGCAGACTTGTACTGCTCCACTAACTTTTCCATTTGTTCTGTAAGACTTACTTTGTATTTTTTAATCCACCGATTATACAAGGCAAACCTTTTATTCAAATCCAGTGTCCACAAATCTACAACATCGTTCTCCTCCTCTTCACTCATTGGAGGAATCGAAACAAGCTTGTTTCGAATTCTACCAAAACTTAATGCTCTTCTGCCTTTTACTCTCCAACCTCCTTCATTTACCTCATCTTGAATGTCTTCCTGAATTCCAAGCATCTCTGCCCTCTGTATGATGGAAATAATATTATTTTCCCTAGCACTGTTTATTCTGGAATTGTAGTTTCCTCCTTCATCTTCATCATCATCGTCATCAATTATTCTTGCATCTTGTTCTTGTTTTGAAGCTTCGGCATCATCAAAAATTTCCTCTTTCACATCCACCCCGGCTAAGATGTTGGTCAGGACTTGAATATCGTCCAGCTGATCGTGAAGACTTTTGTTCAGTCCAAGAAGCCATGTCTCGACGACGTTCCCTATTGTTTGCTGATGAAGGCGAGTTCCCCTTCTATTTAATTCCTTTATGTATTTCAGAACAGAGTCTGACAGCAGCTCGGGCAGAAACACTTTTAGCTGTGAATCTAACAGAATTTCTTTGTATGAATCATTCAGTATTTTGCCATATTCCCATTGATTGGCGGATGATACCGTTGCTTGATGGGCTTTTTGTCTGATCACTGAAAGCCATTTCTGATACAGTTTCGCTCTCTGTATTATACTCATGTTTGGTGTTAGTTTCTGGTCAGACGCTTGATCTTTGCATGTTAAAACCAGTTTTGTAAGATGCGTTCTTATCATATTTGGAAGTACTGCCTCTGGTGTGTCACTGGATGCATTAAGCCATTGTCTCATTTTATTTCTGCTTAAAACTACATCAGCTCCATATTGGCTTAAGGATGCATAATGTCTTCTTTCAATTACACCCACCAGGACATCTTCAGTCTGAATCACTGTCTCTAGCGATTCCATGACTCTGTTGAGTTGGCTTATTTTGTCTGATATTTCTTCTAATTCTTTATAACACAGATACTTTGATTTTCTGACGGACAGATTCGAACGATTTTTTTCCCTTGGTAATTTTTGCCGCAGACTTTTAATGTTGAATTGATCCAGTTTCTCAGACTTGACCCTCCCACCGACCCGGACGATACCATCGGGGCAAAATTCTAAGACACCCTCAAGAAACTGGTCCAAGGCGTGGTTTGTGTAACAGACAACAAGAATTGGGTCATCTGCATTTTCTTCATTGCCGGCCATGACACTTTTGTTTGCTAGCAGAACCTGCATGACTTTCAGTCCAACATAGGTCTTTCCCGTTCCAGGGGGTCCTTGTATGACAGCAAGTTCTTTAGTCAGTGCTAACATGACAGCTTCTCTCTGAGATCGATTCAGACACATGAACTCTGCCTGAGGCCATTTGTCAGTAGTTACTACCGGATATTGATGGTAACCTTGATGCAGCATAAGACATGACAAGTTATACACAGGGGATCTGATTGTGACACGTGATGGGAAAATGTATTTTGGTGGTCTCAGCTCCTTTTTACATTTAATGATATAATCTTGTAGAGGGAGATTATCAACCATCTCCTGAAGACCTTCTAGGACATGACAATAGGACTCAAAGTAAGCTGTCGTCTCCGCCATGACATAAACATCATTTGATGTTGAGTTGAACACCAGGTCCAAACCACTTTTCACATTTACTGTGATATTTCCTTTGGCCAGCTGACCAACCTCGCGGTGAGCCACTGTTGCAAAAATTACTGTCTCAAAGTTGTCTTTTGATAAACACAAGAGGGATCCGAAAATCAAACGTTTTGAGAATTCCCATTTGACAGAAGCTAATTTTGAGACATCAAATTGTAGAATGTGATCAATGCCATCTTTAAACACCGTACCTACGATGTGAACATCAAAGTATAACCTCAAATCAGAACAGTTGAAATTTTTTTTGCACCCGGCAGCTCTGAACTCATTTATACCTTGCCTCAAGGGGAAGATAAAATCCTGCCTCATGAGACGGAACTGAATGTCCAGATAATGTTGGGCATCATCATAAGCCCCATCTGTGACTGCACATCTGACGAATGGATTTGCGTCTGCTTTCAGATCATGAACTGTTGGAACAATGGGCAGCTCTAGAAAATTATCTGGTGGCTTGTCATTTTTGCCAGCTTTCATAAATTGCTCAACCTTCTTAGCCGTTTCCTTGTCCTTTTCTCTCTTTACGATTAATTTTGCTTTATCTAATACATCTTGGAGGGTTACTATCAGCGGGCTGTTTTTTCTGCTCACACACCGGATGAGTTCTGATGATTTCTGAAGCTGTGAGCTAGCGACTGCACATTTCAATGCGTATGTCGGTAATTTCTCCAGGATCTCCTTCAGTAAACTGACCATATCTGCCAGGAAGTTAACACCATCATTTCCCCAGTTATGCTCACTAAACTCACAATTATTCAAACACATTATAAGATGGTACTCCAGAAAACTACTCTTGCAGATGACTTCTAGGACTTGTTTGATGGATTCCTTCTGGTGCTGAGCCGTAATCCCGTGGGAAACCGCTTTAAGAAAAAGCTTGAACCAATCTTCTTTTATTTTTTTCTCATTAAGAAAATGTTCGATCTGTTTTCTCTCATTGGACATAAAAATAATCAGATCTCCAGCATTTGTATTCTCTGACCAAAGTCTTAGCCTCGAGTAAGTCATAGGTTTGAACTCGGGTTCTCCCTCCCTGTCTCCACGTCTGAAGTTTCTATTCTGCCTACTGGTTGGTCCGTCTTCTCTTTCACTTCTCTCCCTGTTGGCAAGAAATCCAGCCCCATGATTTGAATCCCTGGAACCTCTAGTTCCTTGACCATAAGTAATGTTATTCCTTCCTGTATTTCCTTCATAGTGTCGTCTAACTTGAGAATTTCCATAGCTGAAGAAATAATAATAAAAATGTAAGTAGTTTGTGTGACTGTAACTCATTAAACTTTGTTAATATGTATGACAAGTATGTTCCAGGGGATGAAATTGAAATGTGCACAGTGTGCACTTATGAGTGTAAACTAATACTTAATAACCGCAAGACGTGTTCGACTGCAAGTATATCTTCATCCCAGATGTTTGTTTTCATATGTAAATAGATTAGAGCTGTTTAAATGTTGATCAATTTTTTTTTCAAAAGTCGAATTGGACGAAAACTATCATGCCAACAACAAGGGTGTCTTTAGCGCTAAGGGCTGGGGGAAAAGAGAAGACGTGGGGGGGGGGGG